TGCTTCAGCTCCTTCTCCCCCTTTGTAAAATGGTCCCTTGGCAATGACAAAAAGTATTCTATTGTGGGAGGACAAATGGTTAGGAGACAACTCCTTGGCCGGTCTTTTCCCGTTGGCCTACCACCTTGCCTTTTCTAAACTCAAACCTGTTGTTTCCCAATGCTCTTTTTTCGGGAGAGGGTGGTCTTGGAGACCCATCATTAGTAGGGCTTCTCAAGAGACTGCTAGAAGGGAAGTCCTAGCCCTTAAACATCTCTTGGCAGTCAGCAACATCTCCCCCTCCTCTTGTGTTGATAAGCCTTCCTGGTCTCTCTCCACCTCCAAGAACTATTCCGTCAAATCCTTATATTCATTCTTGGTCGATGGAGGAACTCATTTCCCCTTCTCTTCTATCGTTTGGAACAATATAATGCCTAGTAAAGTTCAATTCTTCTGCTGGTTACTGAGTTTGTTCAGACTGAAGACTAAGGATAGGCTGGCTTCTCAAGGTTGGCTTCTTGATTCTTCTTGTGTCTTTTGCAATGCAGAAGAATCCCATAACCACCTGTTCCTCTCTTGTTCCCTAGCTAGTCAAGTTTGGATCCATCTCTTGCCGAGGATTGGTATCAGTGTCATCCTCCAGATATCTATAAGTGTTTTGCGTTATGTTTGGATAGCTCTATCCATCCTTCTGTACGTCTTCTCTGGGGTATCTGTTTTCCTACAGTATGTTGGATCCTCTGGAAAGCTCGCAATGACCGCATCTTCTCTAACTCCACCACCTCACCTCAACAGATCATCTCCAAGACAGCTTACTATATCCTTTTCTGGACAGGTGCTTCTTCTTCTAAGAAGGTCATCAAGCTGAAGAACATCATTCATTCCTCTGGACTAGCAGATATCAATGAATCTAGTGAGGACAGCAGCAGCCCCCCTTGAGCAGCAGACACACCTCTTTTGTTCTTTTGGAGTTTTCATGTCTGAGTAGAGTAGTGTTATAGTTGTTTTTGCTTTAGACATCTACTAGTGATTGGAATTTTACTCTATCTCAGAGTTGTTGCTTCAATCACCAGTAATTTGCTTTAGACATCTACTAGTGATTGGAATTTTACTCTATCTCAGAGTTGTTGCTTCAATCACCAGTAGATATCTACTTCTGTAATTCTCTTTGGAATTTTACTCTATCTCAGAGTTGTTGCTTCAATCACCAGTAGATATCTACTTCTGTAATTCTCTGAAGCATCTATATTTATATATGATAGGGCAAGTTGCCCTATTTTTACATCAAAAAAAAAACATGGGTTCAAGCCCCATCGGCTATGATGACGAATTTAAATGTGGATTTAAAAAAAAGATACTTCTTTGAGAGTCGAAATTTTGGCCATGAAAAGGGCTTAAACTCGTTTGGGCATGTTCAAGTATAAATTTATAACCCTCAACGCTCACCAATTTGTAGATTTGGAATAGTGGAAGGAGTCATGACACAATTAACAATGATACAATAATAATTAACTCAACGAAGGAGGTGTTCTTTCACAAAACCGGATGGAAAATAATATGATTCATGTGGCGAATCCCAAAATTTTGGGATAACTCATGCTTAAATTTTGGATAACTCATGTTTTTTTGTTGTTTAGTTCGCATACGTACCCTCTAAATGAATTGGCTGGAGACAAAAGGCTGTAATAGTTGCAAATACAGGATAATAGGTTCACGACAATCTACTCCAAAATCAATTAAGGGGCTGTTTGGTTCAAGTAAATTTTAGCATTTGGTGTGGTTTACATATTTTGGGATCAAAAAGTGTGTTTTTTTTTGTTTTGAGATTTCATATTTGGTATTTGTTTCAATAATTTTTTGTAATATTAAATCCCAAAAATACAAAAAGCACCAAATTTTTAGTATCCTCTCAATTGGAGAGGATTTGGTGAATCCCATAAATAGATATGCTTACCTTTCTTTTTATAGTATCGTATTGTTTTCTTATGGGAGGTAACCTCACCAAAGTAAGTATATTTACTTCTTCTTCTTTTTAAGAATTTATTATCCTATAATTTGGGTTTGAACCAAATAAGATATTATAAATTTTAGAATTTACTTTTCTATAATAATGTTGAACCAAATAAAATATTAAAAATCCCAATACATGTATAAAACCCTATGGATTTGAAATTCTCTATGAAATTATAAATCCTAAAATTTTGATATTTGAACCAAACAACCCTTAAGTGTATAGCTTCACAAGTCACAACTCTAAATTTTAGATCACAAATTAAACTTTAGTTTGATTTGGCAGTCAGATAACATGTCACACATTTACAATTTATAGGTTAATTGTTCTAAAGATAATGAATGTTGAATCACTTTTTCTATTATTTATATAATATATTTACTGATTTTACAGTACACATGATGTTTTCTTCTTATGTACCTCATTATATCTTGTTCGTTGCCGTACTATGTGGTGGTTAGCACAAAGCCAGAAACTGCAGAAGTGGTCTGCTATTTGACATCAGGTTTTGTTCTATATCTATATCCAATGATCGATGATCTAAATATTACATATTTTACTTAAGAAATCCATTAACTAGTTATTGTACATAATCTTCATACCTTCTAGCAATGCCTTGAGCAATTGTGAAATAAAGTGGTCTATGAATAATAGAAGAAAAATTCTTCAAGGACCCAAAATATGGGACCAATAGGGGGGACAAGTGAGGTGTCTCCCTCCTATTGGATAATGAGTTGGTCATAGTTAATGATGACCAACTCATTATCCAATAAGAGGGGGACACCTCACTTGTCCCTCCTATTGGTCCCATATTTTGTGTCCCTGTAGCAAAGCTTATAATAGAAAGACAAGTTGATCACTCATTAATGAATGTTCAAGACGTTATTATTAACATGGATTTTGTGATGAGTACGTGTATAATTATTTCAGATGGTCATCAATAGGATTTTAGACCAACCCCATGATAGCTAAGAGAAAGCTATAGTAATATTCTTGTACATATATACTTCTTTCTTATATATGTTGGCCGTTAAAAACTTTTGAAAACTGAGACAAAGAGAATTAGATGATTGATCACATATATATGTGAACGAACAAATTCTTTTCCATTGGAATTTATGAAATTAATAACTGTTACTATTGTTTTAAAGTGCGAAGCAAGGAAGGATAGGTTAATGCAGGACATATCTATATTGTATGTGACAAAATGATTATATGATCCCAAGTATGGTGTTTAAAATTTGAAATACGTTAGTTCTTTTAACTAAAATGACAACACGGTAGAAGTTGAGTTTCCAAAGGGGAGAGAAACACAAGAGTGCATTAATTCATCAGAAAAGCTGGTGAGGATTTGAAACAATCAATCGAACCTTTACCCTTCCGGACCTTGTGTTGAAATTAGGAAAGTAGGAAAAATCACCACAAATAAAGATCTGACCTTGCAAAATAGTAAAGGAGACGAACACACAGATTTAACGAGGTTCGGCAACGTGCCTACGTCCTCGGGAGCCACACCACACAATTTCTTTATTAATTGAAGAAGAAATACAAGTTCTCAAACTAGGGTTTAATCTCTCTGAGATTCTCTCTCTTTCTCCAGTCAAAAACTCTTTTTTTTCGTGTTCTTACAAACCCTAAAAATCGTTTAAGGTATATATAGAGTCCTGGTAGAAACATAATCCAAAACAGTTTAGGAAACTAGCTGACTGCGTCGTCACGGTCGATCACGTAGGTCTCGCGG